AACATTTCAGCACTGAAGTCTCTTCTGTCATTTGGTTGGTCATGTTTTCCATAAGACAGACTCTACTCGCCGCCCGAAAAGATGCATATAGTTCCTTTGGAGTTGTGGATCTCGGATCGCATTCCTTGAAAGTGGTTCATAATCAAAGTCAGTATTTTCTCTGACTGTAGTTCTGGCATAACTTAGGATCAACCTGTTCTAGGGTCATGTGCCTGTAAATTTGTGCCTATTTCCTTGTATGCCTAATAATCCAGCACTATCGCCTCCCCCTCTTCTTTTCAAATGGTACCCTAGTGCGTTATCATCTTTTTACCTTATCCCAAGCTCCCTAGTGGAATCGAAGAGAAAATATCAAGTCCACAACAATCAAAGTGACTTGACACATCAATTCCAGCTTTTTGGCCGTTTCGAGCCCTGATGAGGGTGCTGATGAGACCTGGTCGGGGCCGAAACTGCAGTTCAGACCAGTTTGGATAAAAATATCTTTTGGGAAACAAGGCAATGTTAAATTCAGCGGAAACGCAAAGGCTACTAAAATCATTGTGGAAAAATTCAACTAACAGTCTTTATCACATTAAACGAAATAAAGTGAACGCATTTCATATATTGTAAATGCATTGTTAGTAAAACTTGATGAATTGATGAATTGAAATAATCGCTGCAATTTAAAGGAATTTGTTACTTCGCAAGTTAGGAACTCTAATAGTGTCAATAAACCAAAATTGATGACAAAATTATAAAAATAAATTTTAAATGGGGCTTAACACATATCCTCCTGTATAAGTTAATTTTCATTAATGACATGGGAGTTAATTATATTTTTGCACCTTCAATGAGGGTTGCAGTTATGCTTTAGACCGAGTCACTTTTGCACAAAATTCACTTGTCCATTCGAACGAAGCAAAAAAAAATTGACAATTATAATCTGGTTGCATCGTAGAAATGAAGACCAAGTTCGTGTGGTCTTCTGTTTGGTCGCAGTCTCCTTTTGCTTTATAGTGTTGGTTCGACCTTGTTTTCGCAACTTTGTCGGAGCGTCAGGGAGACCTTGTGGAAAGTATCTAGTCCCGTGTCCTCTGCCATAGTATCCATGATTCCCAAACGTTTCGCCGATGGACCCAGCCAATGGTCCAATGCTGGTAATCACGAATGCTATGCCAGAGGACACGGGACTAGCTAAGTTCCACAAGGTATCCCTGACGCTCGGGCCAAGTTGCGGAAACAAGGTCGAACCAACACTATAATCTGGTTGAATTACGAGGCTGACGCATAATTTGCTTCTGGTGTCAATGGTCAGGTCAGCAAGCCCTTATTTGTCTCCATCGTATTTAATCTTAAGTGATAGCATAACCCTTCATAAATGCTTTGGAACTGATCACTTCTGGTGCTCAGTTGGTCGCGGAAGTAGGGAAATAACGCAGGAATCACTAGTATGCAAGAAGAGAGGTTCGGAAAAAAGCATACATTTATCTTGGTCTTAGACAAAGCCCACTCGTAAATGTAATTGCTTAATCAATTGGCACGATATGTTCGGTAGGAAATAAATGTCTGAAGATTCCTTAATTGTAGGAGCCACAGGAATGAAGAGAATTGTATCATTTGCAAAAAGGGTCACTGAAGTTTTTTCAATTTGCAGACCATTACAATCCTCTATAGGGCCCTAAATCAGACCAAGACCAAAGCTTCACTGCTTGAGCTATGTGAGTTTCAGTTTCAGGATTACCTGCTCTTTCCAGGCAAGTCTGGTGAATTACGAATATGGAAGGAGAATTGGGGGTAGAAAAGAAATTTGAGATTAAAATGTAGATTGTGTTACTTACTTTCTCCACAATGTGATCACGGTTTTTCGTCACCAGGTCAAAATCGAAACCATCTTCTTGCTTCAATAGATAGACTGTTTTTAGCTCGTTTCGACATTTCAGACCATGTGGTGCTTTAACAGCCGTCTGCTAATAGAAATCGTGATATATGGAATGGTCAGAGAAGATAAAGGAACAAGATATGTAGTTATTATCTCCATAAGCATAATTAACTACGATATAAGAAAGAATGAACCCCACATGTGAGGCCTAAGCCTTAATTTCATGGTTAGTAGAACCTCACTTCCTGTAATTCCAAGTGAAAATTTATCTAGCTTTCCCCTAGTTTCGATACTTAACTATCACTACCAATTTATCCACTGATCTATCTTATATGAACTATGACACTGTCATTAACTTTTTGTATATAAGAATTAGGTGATTATTATTATTACTACATCACTAAAATTGGTAGAAAGAAGAGGCGATAAAGAATGGAGAGAATATATTTCGCCAATCGCACTGCTACTTCTAGTTCAT